CCTTTATACAGTTAATACATTTAGCAACCCAGTCTACAATCGTGTGAGATGAACTTCAGCCCAGGACTGATGAGCAGTGGATCTTATCCCTGGCAGCAGGGCTGCCCTGCCCCTGTCAGCTACCTGCTTCTCCCTCAGAGGAGAGAGCTCCTCAAAGCACCTGCCCATGCCCCGCTGCCCCAGCCTTTCTGGTCCCAGGCTTATGGCCAACTCCCAGAGCAGCTACCTTGGGCCAGGGAGATGGTGAGGTAGGGACCCCGTGGCCTCAGGTCTAAGGAGGTCTGGTGTAGATAACCCCATGGAAGAGGCTGCTGCTGAGAACTGCGTGAAACCCTCACTTCCTCTGTATAGTGCAGGTTCCTGACCACAAGCACCAAAGCAGAGGGGCAGGCAGCACGCGGCCCAGAAGCTAGCGTACCAGCCCAGCCATGGTCCCCGAGGTAAGTGCCGCTGCCCAACCAGGCCAGACCATAGTTATGAGTGGAGAGTCTAGGACATGAGGGGACCTTCAGGACTGGCCCAGAAATCAGGGCCACCAGAGGGTTGGTGAACAGGTACAGAATGCAGGGACTGTATAGAAGCAGCACAGGACGGGGTATTCGGAAACCACCTTGGCCACTGACTCTCGAATGACCACAGGCAAGTCCCTCCCCTTTCTGGCTTTGGTGCCTCATCTGCAAAATGCATGAGGTTGAGGCTCACCCCTCATGGCCCCCAAGGCTCCCTTCAGCTCTGACTTGGAACTTTGATCTTCTGTGCTGGACTAAATTGACACCTGGGAGACCCACAGCTCTGGGATAGTTTGCGGGGAGGTGGGGGAAGGGGAGAAGGAATATTTCTACTAGAGCTTGGTGGGGGAGCCACCCAACTTGGTGGGTGGCAAGCCTCAGTGTAGGGGAGGGGAAAGACAGGAGCAGAAACTTGTGTTGGGGGACCGTAGTGATCTGTAGAGGGGCCCCATGGCGGGCAGGAAGTTGGGGTCCCCAGGCAAGGTCTGAGGAGGGAACAGGAGGGCCAGTGACTGGGAGAGGGGACTGTGGGGAGGTGCCTGGGGAGGAAGGTGTTGGAACTAGGCGTGGCCAGGAACTGAGGACCATAAGCCATGAAGAAAGAGTGAGGAGAGAAGGGGCAGGGAGGGCTTGGGACAGAAAGGAAGCTCTCCCTCTGGCTCACAATCTCTGTGCCGATGTGATGACCCAGAAGGGAGAGAGAGAAGCAGGCTTGAGAAGGGAAGTTATCAGCCCAGCACTCAGGCTGGGCAGATGGAGCTCAGAGGGTGTGGTTTGGAAGGAAATGCAGGACAGTTGCAGCCTGAAGCCCAGGCCTCTGGGCCTGCCTCATAGAGGAGCTGCTTTACGAAAGGTTCCTCAGACTAAATCTTCAAGGAGTGACTTTTGTTTAATTGAAGTATAGTTGATTTACAAGGTTTCAGGTGTACAGCAAAGTGATTCAGTTATGCAGATATATATATGTATTCTTTTTCAGATTCTTTTCCATTATAGATAAGCTACAAGCTACTTAGTTCCCTGTGCTCTACGTAGGCCCTTGTTATTTATCCGTTTTACATACAGTAGTGTGTATCTGTTCATCCCAAATTCCTACTCAAAAGAGTAACTTCCAAGGCCTTCACACACTCTGTGCCCTCCCTCCCTCCACAGATGAGTGAACGCCAAGAGTTCCAAGCCTCCGAGTTTGCCTACCTCCTGGAAAACTCTTCCTATGACTATGGAGACAATGAGACCTACTTCTGCTGTACTTCCCCACCCTGCCCACAGGACTTCAGCCTCAACTTCGACCGCACCTTCCTGCCCGTCCTCTACAGCCTCCTCTTTGTGCTGGGGCTTCTGGGTAACGGTGTTGTGGCAGCCGTGCTGCTGAGCCAGAGGGCGGCCCTGAGCAGCACCGACACCTTCCTGCTGCACTTGGCCGTGGCCGACGCACTGCTGGTGCTGACACTCCCTCTCTGGGCAGTGGATGCGGCCATCCAGTGGGTCTTTGGCTCTGGCCTCTGCAAAGTGGCAGGTGCACTCTTCAACATCAACTTCTACGCAGGGGCCCTCCTGCTGGCCTGCATCAGCTTCGATCGGTACCTGAGCATTGTGCACGCCACCCAGCTCTACCGCCGGGGTCCCCCGACTCGCGTGGCCCTCACCTGTGTGGCAGTCTGGGGGCTCTGTCTGCTCTTTGCACTCCCAGACTTCATCTTCCTGTCCTCCCACCATGACAACCGCCTCAATGCCACCCACTGCCAGTACAACTTTCCACAGGAGGGCCGCACGGCTCTGCGCGTCCTGCAGCTGGTCGCAGGTTTCCTGCTGCCCCTGCTGGTCATGGCCTACTGCTACGCCCGCATCCTGGCTGTGCTGCTGGTCTCCAGAGGCCAGCGGCGGCTCAGAGCCATGCGGCTGGTGGTGGTGGTGGTGGTGGCCTTTGCCCTCTGCTGGACCCCCTACCACCTGGTGGTGCTGGTGGACACCCTCATGGACCTGGGGGCCTTAGCCCGTAACTGCGGCCGAGAAAGCAGTGTGGACATAGCCAAGTCGGTCACATCGGGCATGGGCTACATGCACTGCTGCCTCAACCCGCTGCTCTACGCCTTTGTGGGCGTCAAGTTCCGAGAGCGGATGTGGGTGCTACTCACGCGTCTGGGCTGCCCTGACCAGAGGGGCCACCAGCGGCAGCTGTCAGCTTCCCGCCGGGATTCATCCTGGTCTGAGACCACAGAGGCCTCCTACTCAGGCCTGTGAGGCTGGGATGGGGATACCCCTCCACCTGCCACATTCCAGGCTCTTCCCTCACTCACTTCCCCAACACACACTCCTGGGAGTCCCCCATGGCCCTAGTCTCCCAGGGAGCCACCCTCCTGGCTCTGAGCGTTCTGCCATCACTGCTCCTTAGCTGCCCAGCCCCATCCCATCGCTTCAGAGGTGGCCACCTTCAGGCCCTTCTTACCTTGGCTATGCAGAACCCCACCACCCTCCCAACTCTGTTAACTAGGCCTCAGCCTTCCCCATATGCAGGAAGCATGAGGCAAACAGTGTAACGCTCTGCAGTGACTGGCGGAGGTTTCTGAGACCTCTGTATTTGCTCACTTTTGACTTTTACATGTAAAACTCTGCTTCAAACTTTTCAATAAACAAGCTAAACAGGACCATGGTGTGTTAGTGCATCATTATAGCCAGTCCTGCCCAGCCTCTGGGGATGCTCTTCCTGCTTCTCCTTGTCTGGCCCTGGGTTTGTGCCAACCAGTGCTGCCTGTCTCCCCTCCTCTGACCTCCTGGGTACACCACTCACTCACAGGGTGAGTGGGTGCAGGGTAAGCAGTTAGTCGACCAGCTGGCTAGATAATGTCTAGGCATAATTTGGGGAAGGGGCTTTCAGATATAAGTAAGAGTCCCTGCACTCCAGAAGCTTAGACTGACAAGGAAGATGTGTAGGTGACTACCAAGCAGTCTATGTCACAAGGCAAATGTGTGGCACATGTTCAGAGTACTGCAGCGGGAGCCATTTGGGAAGACTTCTTGGAGACATCGAGAAATGAGCAGAACTTAAAGGGCAAGTAGTATTTCCTGGGCAAAGAGAAGGAAAGATGGTATTTCCAGGCAGATGGGAGGGTAGTATACCAAAGGTGGGAAGGCTGAAAACAGTGCTGCTTAATGGAGGAACGGTAAGTGGTCCAAACTGGCTAGAATTAAGGGTTCAGATAGAGAGAGGATTGAAAAGACTCAAAGTTAGTTTGGGACCCAGGTGATGGCATCACAGGTTACAAGGCTGTAGTGGCTATTCATGTTAGAGATGACACAGGCTCTTACTAAGAAAAACAGCAGTGGGATTGGAAAAAAAGGATAGGGCAATGACTTGACAACACATGTGTGGGCTGCAGGGAGCACCTTCTTGTAGCTATAGCTGGGGTGGGAGTGGAGGAAACTATCAGGGCTCCCCAGGAAGGCAAATGACAGGGCTATTGAGTTAAGCAAAGGGTTGGACCCTTCTTTGGCAGGGGTAGAACCACTGCACTGTGAGTTCTCCCAGATGAAGTCACCAGTGTGCCATGATCCAGTTTCACAGGCCAGCTGGGCCTTTGCTGAGACTGCAGATATAGCTGGGGGGGGTGGGGGGGGGCGGACTGGAGAAGGACCCAACGATTTAGCTAGGGAAACTCGCACTACCCTGTGCATATACCCAATCCCATCTAGACTTGTGCTTAGACTTCAGTTTGTGGCCACTGCAAGAACACTCTCAGCATCTATAAAACGAAGGAAAGATGGGAAGATGACAGAAGAACACATCCTGCCTATAAAAAGTATCAGTGATGCTAGACTAGTAAAGATGTTTGGGGCAGGGTGAATAACAAGTTCCCAAATGTCCACACTCTAATCCCTAGAACTTGTGAATGTGTTACTATGTTACCTTATTTGGCAAAAGGAAATCAAGGTTTTCCTGGATTTTCTGGGTGAGCCCAATATTATCACAAGGGTCCTAAAAAGGGAAAGAGGAAAAAAACAGGGAAAGAGGGAGGCAGGAGAGAGAGTCAGAGAAAGAGATGTTGCTGGCTTTCAAGAGAGAGGAAGAGGGCCACAAACCAAGGAATGCAAGTAGCCCCTGGCCGCTGGGAAGACAAGGAAACTGATTCCCCCCAGGGCCTCCAGACAGGAATGCAGCCCTACCCAAGCCTTGAGGTCTGAGGTCTGCACCAGACTTCTGACCTCTTGAGATGGAAGATAATACATTTGTGTTAAGTCACTAACCTCCTGGTAATGTTTTGGCAGAAATAACAAGTACAACACTGATTCCAGTCTATATTCCAGACACCTCCCCAAAGTGGGGAGGTTGTTTAAGTGCTTAAGGGAAGTCACAAAAATCCAAGAGAAACCCCAAGTGGAGGCTGTTCTTCCAGACACATCCTCGAAAGCTTATGAAATCAGGGGTCTTGGACAAAAGACCCAAGGGTTTGTTCTGCTCTGGACATGGGTTGTCAATGAACAGACTTTGCCAACAAGTGAACTGCAGAAAACACTTTATTTTTATTCTATGAACAATCACATTGCTTAGGTGGCTTCTTTTTTATTTTATAAACAAATACACTGGCTCAGATGACTTCATACAATATCAAAAGCAACTCACTTCGTGAAGCACATTTCTCTTATTTCCATGTAGGTGTAACAGGTTCCATCAGACAGAAGCCTTGGTTTTGAAGTACTGCCTTTAAAACATGTTCTCTTTAGAGCATCTCTTTCCTTCTCTCAACCGGCCACTCTCAAAAACTCATTTCTCTTTTGCATTTTGTTCCACATGTTTGCATTTTGTTCTACATGTTTGCATTCCATTCTACATGTTTTGCATTTTGTTCTACAAGTTTGCATTTTGCTCTACATGTTAAGAATAGTATATAAGTAAGATCCAAGGTAGATCCAAAGGGCTTTTGAGTATCAGCACAAAATGGGTAGCAACAGAACCCTTGGTGAAGAACAATCATCATTAACAACAGGAAGCTTTTTTCAAAGAATTTAAATTCTAATATTCATAGCTTCATAGCATCAAATATATCTTTCTAAAACCCTTACTAACAGATGAAGCCAAAGATGACTCATCTCACACAGATACATTCTCAGATAACCTCAAAGACCCTGACTTTGTTTTTTGGCAATAAAATCCTTGCTGAGCTTTCTCATCACATCCCCATGACTTATCCCTTCTGTCTCCTTCTTAACTTTTCTGTAATTCTCCTGTACATATTTGGCAAATGGCCTCACATGGGGCTGAATGGGGGTTCCATCCTTCCGAGTTAGTGGCAACAAGACCAGAGAACCTGTGCACTTGGCACACATGAAGCGGGTGGTATCCAATGATCTGCTGTAGCGCCCGACCCTAAGGAGGAAAGAGACACCACACAGCAAAGGAATCAGTTACTGGACCTCCACATCTTCTCAGAGCTGCTGGCCTTGGGTCCAAAGCCAGACGTTTTCTATGGAATCTCAGAAAGTGGGACACCAGGAAGGGGCTGTGGTCAGGCCAGCTCAAAGCAGAAGAGAATGGAGAAAGAAGACACAGAAAGGTGTAGAGAAGTTTTACTCCTCAAGTCAGATAGCCATGTACTTCCTGAAGAGCCATGTGGAGGCCAGAGTAAAAACATAATTGGAGAAAAGTCTAAGGAGAAGGGTCTTACCTGGATTTGCACTGAGTACACTCGTAATAAATCTTGTAGTTAATCTTGTAGTTATGGCAACGGGTGACCTTGGGCAACTCCGGGTGCACCATATTCGATTTTCGGGCATAATACCTCCACATGTCACCATGAGAATCACGGATGCCATCGAGCAGCCAGGAGGCTGCATGGCATACCTCATGGATCAAAGTGTCTCGGAGTCGGTCTTAGAAAAGGAATGGAAAGAAATCCTGAGCTTTAAACCAATTACCCCTGATCTGTTACCCAACCACCCCTAGACTCTCCACCCGGCCAGACCCATAAGCATAAGTGGGCAGGAAGAAACGTTATCTCCCCAGGATTCTGAAAGTGAAATTTCAACCTACTTCAACCCAACTTTGTTAGTGGCAGAAAGCCTCAGGTGAGCAAGTGCTTTCAGAAAAGCTCCAGTGTGCTCTTTTTGTGGGACACTGCTACAAATACATCCAGCTGAGACCCAGTCGCCACCCTCCAAGAACATCAATGGGGTTTGGTCAGGAGAAGCTCCATGGAAAAGCCAGGCAATTAACAATTGGCTGGATTGGCAAAATTATCAAGGCCTTTCTAGATGTGGTGGGAAAAGTGAGTCAAGGTTGGGATGAGGAAAGTGTGCAGTCTATTATCAAAGCCAGCGTGAAGAAAGGCTAGCTAAAGCACAAGTGGAGTAGTGAGAGACAACATTGGCCAATGGATGGGGGCAAAGTACAATGGCCTTGTAAGCCATACTCCAGGCATTGGCAAGCCTGAGGTTTCCTATCAGGAAATCACACATAGCAGGGAGAAAAATGAGGTGATAAGGATCCACAGCTGGGCAAAGGCAAAGATAGAGAAGGAATGATAATAGGAGAGTCATTATGAACATCCAGTGATAGGCTAGATATAGGGACCCTTGAACTTGTTACTGAGAGAATGGCGATAGTGCCGCCTGCAACGGGGAGCTGCAGAAAGTAAGTTAGGCCCGGCAGAAATATGGACAAACTAGACTCTCAGTGGTGGTGAGACATCCAATAATAATGTCCTCTAAGCAACACACAGTAGACCTGTCCACACAGGAGTGATAGGGAATGCTGTGATACAGGTGGCCAGAGAACACCACCACCCAAGAGTAACCCTTCAGGTGTGAGAAGGAAGCACGGCAGAGGAGCTACCCTACTCCCACCATCACCTGCAGAGTCACAGACTTTCAGAGAAATCCGAATCTTAGCATAACGCTGTCTCTTAGGGTATCGAAGCTTGCCAGTGGTGCATAAGCCAGCACTTCTCAGCATCTTTTTGCTCCAGTCAATGTCAATTTTCTCCGGCATCTGAGAACAAAAAGCAAACAAGAACAAGTCAAAAAGCAGTTCTAAGCAGACCAGAAAATATCAACTCAAGAGCTTTGCATATCTAACATTCTGGGGAGAATAAAATGTAAACTGAAGCCCAGGTAAAGACAAGATTGTTGCAAGAATATGAATGCAGAATCTCTGCTCCCTTGCATGGAGACAAAAAGTCAGAGGCAGCCAAGGAAAGAACAACACTTCTGCTGGGCTAGCAGACAGAGACCATGCATGAGAGCCATGAGGCATGACTAAAAATGCAACTCAGAATACTTAAGGTTCCACTCAACAGAGTCATCTGATGTAACACCACTGTCATCAGGAAGGGCTCCAAAAGTTGGGGAACCTTTAGAAAGAACTAAGAACTTTCCATACAGAAAGTTTTGTCACCAGAGAAATAAAGTCTGAAAAACCTAATGACCACAGGTCTCGCTGCCTCCAGATTCTCTCCGATCCAGTCCACACCCCCATGCTACTGACAAAACCATTTCTTTCAGCAGCCACTCCATGTTATATTATATTCCTGGGCAGTGTTGCCTACTGATTTCAACTTAAGTTCCCCCAACCTGATTCCCAAGACCCTCTAGTAACCAGGCCTACACCAGCTAACATGTATTGCTCACCATATCATATGCCCTGTTCTAGGTACTTCAGGGGGATTCACTTACCAGGCCTAAACAGTAATTCTGTGTAGTAGGCAGGAGGTACACTACTACTGCCCCCACTTTACAGATGAGCAAACAAAGGTTCAGTAACTTGCCCAAGGTCCCATAGCTCTTTCCTAGTATCCTTAACACAAACCCTCTCTTCCAGATAGTCAAGCCTCAACACTTGTCATCTCCCCAACCACTGCTGTTCTCTCCCCTTACCATCCTTCAAGACCCAAAACAAGTCTCAATCCCTCCAGGCAATCCTATTTCCCAACTGCTCAGGCTCTCAGTGATTTCTCCCTCTGCTGATCGCCTGTGGTAGTAACAGTCTGGACCATATACTATAACCCACAAAACATTCTGTTTCTTTCACATATGCATGTCTCATCTCCCCTCCCCATCTAAACTCACACTTCTCAAGGGCAGGAAATATACAGTTAGTACATCTGCACACCTCCCAGCACCCAAGAGAGCTGGGCATACAGCAAGTGTTCAATAGGTGCTTATTCATTGAATCTACCTTTTGATCAAAGACAGAGCTGTTAAGCAGACTGTAGATTTTCTGAATCAGTTCATCCTTATTTTGTTTGTAATTCTTTCCAGAATACCGCTTTAAGTTTTCAAGGCCATGAAAGAAACATCCAGGTATTTTGCACTGAGAATTCCTGTAAAAGTAAATTCAGCTGAGTTTTATAGAGCGAAAGAAATCAATAGAAGAAATGCATATATACAGGTCATGTCAAGAGAGACTTAGAAGACTCACTGGTCTCCCTTCCAGCTCCTGCTACGAGGGCATCTCCTATAAGGTTCCATTCATAGCCTTTTCCTCTTCATTCCCCACACACTGTCTGAGATGTGAAGCCCATGGATCCAACCCCAACAGGAGCGATCCCATACCTGGATCTGCCGTCTCCACCTCTCTCCTAAGATCTAGTTCTGAGTTTACAATTGCCCAGTGCAAATTTCCAACCAACTAACCTGAGTATGTCTCCAGCTACATGTGTTTAATTGTCCAACTTCTGTTATAACAGGCTGAAAACCTGAGACATTTTAAAATCCATTTTCTCCTTCACCCCATATTTAACTAGGCACAAAGACAGATCACTGTCTGCTTCACATCATCTCTTCCAGCCAGCCTCTCCTTTCCACCCTGTTGTCATCAACCTAGGTCAAGTTCCTGTCCTCTTCTCTATGCCTTGCTACTATAACATCCCACTGTGTTCCTTACCTACAGGCTCTTTTTCTTCTAATCCAACCACACACATACACCTTCAGATGAATTTTCCCAGGCCATGTTCCAGTGATGTCCCTCTTTGTGTGGCCTAACATTTAAGGCCCAGGTCAACCTGGTTCCAACCTCTATCTCCAGCTACCATTTCCACTCTGGCCAAAGTGAGCAACTTAAATGTTCCCAGGACATGGACTGACATTTTGCATAGTTCATTCATACCTTGGCAAAACCTACTTGTCCATGGCCTAGAATGGTCACACCTCCACTTCTCCGGAGACCCACCCTCTGTGGAGCGCTTCATCGTTTGCCAAGAATTTCTTTTTTACATCATAATATTTAATCCTCACACCATCCTCCAAAGAAGCTACTACTATTCTTACCATTTCCACTTGGCACATGACAAAACAAAAGTTCAGAAGTTAAATGACTTACCCAAAGTTCAGAGACACTGAATATACTGACCCAAATCTCATGGTCTTTCCATTAGACCACTATTACTATCCTATCTTTCAAGGCATAATTCAAATGCACAAAGAATAGTGCAAAAAAAAAAAAAAAAGAATAGTGCAGAGCCCATAAAAAAACACACTTGTAATAACTATTTATTTAAACTGAAGCATTTTAATCTTGGCTTGGACAATCCACAAATCCAAAGAGATCAGCCCACAGAGCTGAAAAGATAAACCACTAGCAAACCCAGGAAGTGTTTCTGACTTAATAGAACTCCTGAAACGGAGATTTTGCCAAGACACTTGTTACCCCTTAAGTCACAAAATAAAACCCTATGAGAGGTGCCCGGGTTGCAGGTGGGGGAAAAGTACCAGACAAGACAAAGGCAGCTAAAGTAAGGATCTTTCACCCCAAAACCTGATATGGGTGACTAACATTTCTGCCTCCAACTATTTAGCTCTGAAAGCAAATCTGCATCAGAAAAGGTGGCAGATAAAAACCTAAACCCTCTACAGACCTCAGCAGAGAGCATGACCCTTGCATGTGTCTATGCTCATGTCAAGCAGCTTGTGACTTAGCAAGCCTTCACTTCAGTGGTGATGCCACTCTACTGCAGGCTGAGCATCTCCACATCAGAGGAACCAACAAGACCCCGGACGGGTACATCAGACACCAAAACCAGCCAGCAGCCTCCACAGGAACAATGCTGAGAACAGGAAGCCTACAGACTGAAACAGGAAGCAGCAAAGCAACAGTGAAAAGTCTAAACAGGCCAGCCCTCTTTGGATGAGGCAGAGGACAACGACACAAAGGAGTAGCTTCTTCCTTCATTCGTCACATTCTGTAGCAAAGCAACCTGGGACCTAGCCAAGACACATGTCTCTAGAAGCAAATCAGCTTAAATATGGATCTAAGAATCCAGAGAAGAAGCTTTGCTAAAAGGGGGCCCATCTAAGAAAGGGCAGGCCAAACTGAAGAGAAATGCAGAAACAGCCTCTCTACTCAAATCCAGTTTCTCTGTTGCCCTCACACCTGACATATCATTTTTCTTCTCCCCTTAAGATGCATTTATTGCCCTAAAATACAGGTAAAAAAAGAAACATACAGTCCTTCAAATATACCCCTTCTTTTGTAACATAATTCAGATGGAAGTATACATTATTCCTGAAGGCAAGTTAAAAAAAAAAAAGTATGTTCACTCTATCACATTTTTAAGAGAAAAAGTGAAGTTCCTGGAATCTAAGTGAGGAAATGCATTAATTTTTTTTGCTTCCTTCGAGCATTAACATGTCTTCGGTCTAAATGACCTGCTGTTTTCACTACCAATATAATATATAACAATATAATACCAGTATCAATATATATGTAATATATAGCTTAATAAATGTAAATGGACTACAAGCAATCCCTTTCACCCTAACATTTAAGATATAAAAATTAGCAAGACTATATAGGTAGTAAGAATAAGGGTTCATATAAAATAGATAATCAACAAGGATCTACTATACAACTCAGGGAACTATACTCAATATTATGTAATAACATCTAAGGGGAAAGAATCTGAAAATACACACACACACACACTGAACTGCTATGCTGTATACCTGAAACTGAGATGATATTGTAAATCAACTACACTTCAATTTAAAAAAATTTTTTTAAAGAGTAAGGGTTCATCTGAAACCCTGGAAGATAATCTTGACTGCCTCCCCCCAATTCCAATGGATGGGAACACATTCATTCTGCTTTCTCACCATTCCTATTGCCTTTGTTTTTAGTTCTGTGAAAAGTGATGGCCACAGGGCTGTATCTAGCCTGAAAAAAAAGGATCTTGTTTGGCTACACATCATTTAAACAATCTGAATTTAAAGACAAAGGAAATCTCAGAGGCCAGAGCTGCTGTGGGGGGTAAAAGCTCGTCTGCCCAGAACTGGTAGGTTCTATGTGGAACGCCCACACCAGCTCTGCTAGGGAGAGAGAAGAAGGGGTCACAGAGGTTCCTCCTCTCCCCACCTTCCTCCTGCTGCTGAGTCTATCCTCCCAATTCAGGGATATAAAACTTGTCCCATGCTGCCCACCAGACCTCTTCACCCCCTCAAAGACCCTCCCCAGTGACCAGTGAATGGCTTCAAGTGACAACTGTGCAGTCAATTCCTGAGCCACTGAACATGAGCAGTACATACCCACGCTTGGATTTTTCAAATTTCACTGTCTCGGGTTTCTTCTTTGAAGGCTTACGCTTCTTTCGTTCTTTAACAGCTGAAAAGATAAATAGTTCATCCATACCCTGAAAATTGTTACCAACTAGCAACTAACAGGAAGATAAACCCAGGAGAGAGGCCCCCACAGACAAGCCCAGAATAACATTTTAGTGTTGATAAAAACTAAAAAGGATAAACCAAAAGCTTCTCTCTGAAGCATGCATCCTGCTCTATTAGTTGGCAGGAAAGGTTTTACCTACATGAGTCACAGAGCTGCAGAAAGACTAAGTGGGGCAGGATTCTATCCTAGGCACTAAGGACTATTATGAAGCTACATGAATATACCACAGAAGGCTAGATTGTGGGGGCAACGGAGGCACAAGCAGTATAAGAAATGGTGCAGCAGAGCTCACACACTTGCTTTGAGAAGGGTGGTTCCCATCCTAGGCAGCACCCTTATCCAGTATGCAAGCCAAATTTTCTCTCCGTTGTCTAGTACCCACACTGCTAGTTGCTCTAACTAGAAATTCATGTATCAGTGGAAAATTCTTAGAGATGGGAATACCGGACCACTTGAACTGCCTTCTGAGAAATCTTCATGCAGGTCAAGAAGCAACAGTTAGAACTGGACATGGAACAAACTGGTTCCAAATCAGGCAAGGAGTACGTCAAGGCTGTATATTGTCACCCTGCTTATTTAACTTATATGCAGAGTACATCATGAGAAATGCCAGGCTGGATGAAGCACAAGCTGGAATCAAGACTGCCAGGAGAAATATCAATAACCTCAGATATGCCGATGACACCACCCTTATGGCACAAAGTGAAGAACTAAAGAGCCTCTTGATGAAGGTGAAAGAGGAGAGTATAAAAGTTGGCTTAAAACTCAACATTCAGAAAACTAAGATCATGGCATCCAGTCCCATCACTTCATGGCAAATAGATGGGGAAACAATGGAAACAGTGACAGACTATTTTGGGGGGCTCCAAAATCACTGCAGATGGTGACTGTAGCCATGAAATTAAGATGCCTCCTCCTTGGAGGAAAAGCTATGACCAACCTAGACAGCATACTAAAAAGCAGAGACATTACTTTGCCAACAAAGGTCTGTCTAGTCAAAGCTATGGTTTTTCCAGTAGTCATGTATGGATGTGAAAGTTGGACTATAAACAAAGCTGAGAACCAAAGAATTGGTGCTTTTGAACTGTGGTGTTTTTTTATTTTATTTTTTTTATTAGTTGGAGGCTAATTACAATATTGTAGTGAGTTTTGTCATACATTGACACGAATCAGCCATGGATTTACATGTGTTCCCCATCCCGATCCCCCCTCCTACCTCCCTCTCTGCCCGATCCCTCTGGGTCTTCCCAGTGCACCAGGTCCGAGCACTTGTCTCATGCATCCAACCTGGGCTGGTGATCTGTTTCACCCTAGATAATATACATGTTTCGATGCTGTTCTCTTGAAACATCCCACCCTCACCTTCTCCCACAGAGTTCAAAAGTCTGTTCTATACATCTGTGTCTCTTTTTCTGTTTTGCATATAGGGGTATCATTACCATCTTTCTAAATTCCATATATATGTGTTAGTATACTGTAATGGTCTTTATCTTTCTGGCTTACTTCACTCTGTATAATGGGCTCCAGTTGGAGAAGACTCTTGAAAGTCCCTTGGACTGCAAGGAGATCGAACCAGTCAATCCTAAAGGAAATCAGTCCTGAATATTCATTGAAGGACTGATGCTGAAGCTCCACTACTTTGGCCACCTGACATGAGGAACTGACTCATTGGCAAAGACCCTGATGCTGGGAAAAGACTGAAGGCAGGAGAAGGGGATGACAGAGGATGAGATGGTTGGATGACATCACCGACGTGCTGGACATGAGTTTGAGTAGGCTCCGGGAGTTGGTGATGGACAGGGAAGCCTGGCAAGCTGCAGTCCATAGGGTCGCAAAGAGTCGGACACGACTGAGCGACTAAACTGAACTCGCTAGAAATTCATGTATTTAGGAGGTAGTGCCCTTCGTTCATTTATCTAAAAAAGTTATTAAACATCTATTACATGTCAACTACCAGGCTAGACTTTGGGAGAGACTAAAAGATGAGTGAGAACCCTCTCACCAAGAGGCTCACTATTGGGACTTCTCTGGTGGTCCAGTGGTTAAGACTCTGTGCTTCCACTGCAGAAGGCATGGGTTTGATCTCTGGTCAGAGAATCAAGACCCCAGATGCTGCACAGTGCAGCTAAGAAAAAAGAAAAGAAGGCTCACCATCGACTAGGGGGACAGATTCATCAGAAAGATACTCAACACAGTTATGTAAGTTCTCTTACTACTGATGAAGTCTGGGAACTTTGGGAACCTGGGAGGGAGCAGCACCTCAGATTTATAGCTTCCTACAGCAAAGCAGCAATTAGGCCGGGGAGCATGAGGACAACAAGGCCATCCGTCCCCCTCCTCAGAAAGAGTCTTTTCACTGTGATGGCTGCCACCCTTGGCCACTAGAGAGCTGCTGAAACACGGCAGAGGGTTAATAAGCAAGACAGACTCTACAAGACAGACATATCTCGGGGAAAGAGCACAGCGAAACTGGCTGGCACACTTGTTGCACTAGGCTTAGTCAGTGGGACAGACACACTTGGTTTTGATTGGCTTACCAGGTGCCACAGTTATGTTTTTGGTTTTATATTTCCTTTTCCTTGGTTGTTCCACGACAGGCATAGGCTTTCCATTAGTTGGCAACTCTCTATCTAAAATCTCTGGTTTAGCTTTACGATCATTTGGCAGCTGGCGGCGATTCTTCAGAAGATTCTGCTTACCAGCTACAGAAGATAACTTGTGCTGGGTAACAGTAAACTCATCCTTCTTTTCCTTTTTTTTGACAATTTTGCCCTGATCACACGAACCATCTTTTGTCACCACAGGGTTCTCCAAATCATCATCTTCATCATCAAGGATAACTATTGGAGGCTCATTGGTCAGCTGCTTACTAGTGCCAGAAAGTTTCTTACTCTCATCTGAAATTCAAAATACAATCATGTATAAACATACTCCCCCAACCCTCACATCCCCCCTCAACTTCAGATTATTGAGCACAAATTAAACAAGCCAGGAACTGTGGTATAATGAATCATAGTTAAGAATCAGTTATTTTATTAGACTGTTTTCCCTCTGCTACTTTATTTTACTGAGAACAGTGACAGAAAAATAGCAATTCAAACCCAGAGTCAATTTTCAAATCATATTCTCTGAGTAGCACCACGGATGTGCTCAGGGGTTCCCACAGGTCTGAAACTTGTATGTTTTCACTGGACCAAAGCAAAACAAAAAAAGAAATGAGAATAATAAAGTGGGTTCTCCCTGCGAATCAAGCCTGGTTTCTATAACTTAAAGGAGTGTACTTTGAGATTATGTCATCATTAAACTTTTGGTGTTCTTTATTTTATGAAATTATGATGACAGATGATAGTTGGGAGTTTATTTCCATCATTAGACAAATTAAAAATTCGCAATCCTTTGTTATCCCCCAAAATTTCTTTCTTAAACTAGCCCAATAAGTCCAAAGCTCTCAGAACCACTGATGTGAAAATGAGGAGATAAGTTCTGATGCCAGCGCCAAGAGGCCCTGGGGACACCGGGATTGTCCCCAGCCTCATGGAGGACCCATCCCTTCATCTGGAAACAAGGGGGAGCATGCCTAAAACACAAGCTGTCTGCGTTGTTCTCAGAGTTCAGCATCTAGATTTCTAGGATTCTGGATGTAAAAAATATAATCACAGCACGAACAAGTTATAAAAATGTGTTTATGGTGCAAAAACTCTTTATCCTAAAATTCCATATTTGGGATAATATATTTTGAGTATAATCTATGATTTAAATTAATTATCAAAGAACTTAAAAAAAAACCTGAAGATATGCAGTAAGGAAAGAAAAAGCAGTGGGTGTTCCTATGGGAAAAAAGTCATCCTTCCTAGAAGATTTAAAGATTTCCCACATACAACTTAAATTCTAACAAGTAGGGACAAAAATGAACAAATTTATAAAAAAGAAACACTCACAGACCTAGAAAACAAACTTCTGGTTACAAAAGTGGAAAGAGGTGGGCGAGGGAGGAAAGCTAAATTAGGAGTTTGGGATTAATGTATACACACTGCACTGTGTAAAATGGATAACCAACAAAGACCTACTGTATATAGCACAGGGAACTATATTCAATGTCTTGTAATAAACTGAAATGGAAAATAATAGAAAAAAGGAATGTGTGTCTGTGTGTGCAACCTAAACACTTTGCTATGAAACTAACACACCTGAAACTGACACAATATTGTAAATCAACCAGATTTATGGATCTTCTGATTAAAGGAGTCAGCAACTGACTTTGGCTTTGTCATTCAGGCCCCTACTCTAAAGCTACTTCCCCTGGGGCTCTGTGTACATTGCAGAAGCTTGTCATGTTACACCCCCTACTCTGCACCTGGACCTCTGCCCTGCTCAGGCAATCCACCCAGAACTAGAGAGAAGGGGAAAAAAGAAATCAGATGGGACAGGTGATAAAACAGTAGGAGATGAGGGTTCCTAGCCACCTATCACTTCCCTGCTCTGATATCCCAGGTTAACTAGCAGAATCTGGCCAATGCTAGCTCGGGGGGTAGTTACCAAAGTAGCAGCCTGTATTTTTAAGGGTGTCAGTACTTTAAGCAGGTGCCTGTGTCTCTTGCCCTATGTCAGGTTCTAAGCAAATGGAGATCAGTAAAATACTATCCCAAAGGTTTAAGAAGCTCCTAGTCTTCCTCTGTCTCAAACCCACTGAACAGGTTCTGAATTGCAAGTAAAACTCCATACCTCCTGAAAGGTGATGAGGGCCTCTGAATTCAAAGAGGCAAGGATCTGTTATGGCAAATACACACTAAGAAAAACAGGACTCTAGAAAATAGAAAGAAGGTAGCAAAAGGCAAAGACAAACAGCTAGACAGAGAAAAACAAGCATACCCCTGAGAAGTCACTGCCAGCTAGCCTGTAAGCCTCACACGTCCTAATCTTTGCCAGGCTGGAAAGAATGAGTCCCTTCCTCCTCCCTGTCATCTACACACAGAGAGAGATGAAGAGTAGAAGGCAGAAGAGCAGGGCAACCTTCATGCTGCTCAAGGTGAGTTCCTAACTTCCTCTGCTCCAGCAACATAATAGGTAAGAACTCTACAGAGGGTGATGTCTGGGTTCTATGGCAGCAGGAACAGCTGCTGCTGTTAGGAAATTAACCAGGGAGTGCAGGGGACCCAGCCATATCCACATCCAGCACATACGAAGGAAAAACAGTGGTACTCGCTACGAAATGATTCAAAACAGAATGTTTGCCGACTCTCATCCTGAGATGACTGTGCCTGGTGAGGCTGCACTGCACAGCTCTTTCTCTTAGTTAGTAGTATACTTGCCTTTGCTACTTTTGTCATGTATCTTAAGTCTCTTTTTCTCAGGGAGGTAGTCATCATCAGAGCCTGAGTCAATCACCACGCAGCTGAGTGACCGGATAGAGAAAAACAAAAGCATGAAAGCAACATTCTTCTTTTCATGGCATTTTCTATTATACTTTTCTCCAGTGAGCAAAATCACTTGGAAATGATTTTGTTGGTTTCCCAAAGTAACTGTTCCCCTCCTCTGGAACTACTCAATCATTGTTCTTGATTTTCCATCTTTCCTGCCTTCCTACCAAACCTTTCCATCAGTCTGAATCCTTTCAAAGGGAGGAATCTGTCTAGTATTCAGAGTTGAAGTGGGCTGTCAGAGGGTATTTGTTAAAATGGTTTTGGTGTGAGGGGAAAATGATTAAGGAAGAGTCTAGTTAATTGCCATTTCTCTTTATCCACGTTGAGATCCCCCTACCACAGATGCAGAGAGGCAGCCTTGGCGGGGAGGTTTCTTCCAGGTGCTTCTCTTTGCAGCCCAAAGCCAGCACCACTTAAGTGAGCAGTATCCCTGTGACACCCAGAATGCGGGTGTTGTCGGCACACCTCTGGGACTGTCATTCTCAGCTGTCCCAGGTATTTGGGTCAGATGTTCCAGAAGGCTGAAATGCACCACCTTTATTTCCTACACAGTGTATAAGTGTGATATACCTTTATGATGAGAGAGAAAACTACTTAAAACGCTGCTAGAGAACTTGTCTGCCCCCGTTACAGACACAAATCTATTCATCCATTTCCTTCATATTCACCACTTTTAATCTGCCAAGTTTACAGAACTTTGCTCTCTTGTTGACCATTCATTCCATCCTTAAAATTCTTTTCTTGATTCCTGGGACACTATTTGATTTTGGTTCTCTTCTCACCTGTTTGCCCACTCCTTCTCACTCATTTCCCTTCCTTGCTCGTCCCCAGGTTTTTATCCACATCTCTTTCATGCCAAGCCAATTAATTCCTAAGGATTGGGTGAATATTACCTATCTACCAGCCCAACTTTGCTTCTGACTTCTGGCTCCATAGTGCCAATCTCCTACCTGGATGTCCTATGGGTAGGGTTAATTTTTAGTCAGTCTACACAGGTACAGCCTCATCAACTGTTTATTGGTGGTGTCTGTTTGAACCAGTCAGGCAGCCATCCTGACTAATCCCTGTCTGTATCTCTTGGTTGTTAAATGTTTTTAATATCAGCCCTGCCTATAGGCCCCTCAATCTCAGCATACCCAAAACTGAACACATCACCTTCTTCCCCAAATCCACCCTTCTGACAGTATCCCACAGATAGAAGGCCCCGGAACTGGACCAAGATCTGTGGGCACTCCAGGAAGACACCTCGAAATGGATTTTCTTTACATATTTGTTCAACATCTATCTGGTAGAGACAGGAAGAAACCAACTGAATATTCTTAAATTTATTTTCAATCAAGGGCTCTACAGCATATAATATTGAAAATCAGAATATTTCTAAGGATCTATGACATACCATTTAAAATGTAAATGGCAATGATGGAAATTCTGCATCTTTGTGGTGATGGTTACAGTACCTAGTCCATATACATACCATATACGTTTGTCAAAACTCATCAAACTGTATACCTAAAAAGGGTGAGTTTTTCTGTATGTAAACCATACCTCAATAGACCTAACTTCAAAAATATAAATAACAAAACTGATCATTTCCAATAGATAGCTTTATACAATGCATTATTCAGTTCTAGAATTTCAGCTGATTGCAACTGCTGACTTCACACATTGGTGTCAGGCTTGGTGGCTTGCATGCTGCAAAAATAATCAACAGAGATAAATCAGAACTAGCCAGAAAAACATTTTCCCACTTGACAGCATTATTTCGTCTTAGTGTGGGAAACAGAAATGACCAATTCACATTCCTACAGGATTCAAGGAGCTGATATGGAAACCAGTTATTTCAGATTCATTCCAGTAAATTTAGCACCTCCTACAGTTTGGCACCTGGGCAACACCCCTTAGTGTAGCAGAGGACTCCTAAATAGGAAAAGTAGTAGATAATGCTGACAGATTATGGCCAATTCACATAGGACTTTAACTCCTAGGCTTACCTATTTGATTTCCCTTAGACAGACAATTTGAATAGAAAATTAATATGATCAAAGCAGTGTCTCAGGAGATTAATCTGGAAGTGGAATACAGACTGAATCAGAGGAGGAATAAATCAGGGTAAGGAGCCCACTTAAGAAGCTCTTGCATGAATACAAGGGTAAAAACTGATTAAAGGCCTTATTTAGTCTTTAGTAGTGGAGACTAGAAGTTAAGAGATGGTTCAAAGAGACATTATAAAGAAAGAAACTGACTAATTAGTGATAAGGAGTCTAGTATTTTGAACCCAGTTGTGAGGGTTCCAACACCCATTATAACCCTGAACATAGGATTCAGAGAGAAAATGTGATGTTTATTCTGAAATCATTTTACCCAAACATTATTCCTTTAAAGAAGTCAACTTTCACCAATTCTCCTACCCACCTGATGTTCTCCTTCTTCATGCTCACTCCAGTTATAACTGAATCAGAGAAAGAAAGAGGGCATTAGAAAGCATGTGAAGCATGGTCAAATCTGATTACCTATGTCTTCAACTCCCTAAAACCAAAGTCCATAAATTAGACTTGGTTAAAATTTATGGTGGACTCTTAAGTCATCTCCCATGAGAGACAGAGAGGAGATAAAAGTAAGGAGATCTATAATGAAAAAAAGGACAGGAAGCAAATTGGAAAAGAAGCACAGAGGACATCCTCTGCTCCTCACAGTAGGGAAATAAACTTAGTTTCACCAATCTAGACAGCCCTAGAGGAAACAAAGCTAGAACAGCTTATACCAAATGTCCAAAATCACATTTCAGTCATCTCTACGAAGACATGGCTAAATTACGCTTTAGATTGTAAATTACTGCTTTGAGGAGACTCTACTTACAGCAGTCAAGATCTTCATCACTGCCTGAGTCCACAGTAATAACAGAACTGCAAAATAAAATACATTCTGTTTTAAAGGAAAGCTACTAACAATATTAGCAACCAAATGTCAAAAATCTCATATGAAAGGAACCACCAATCTGAGTTTCTGAAACGTAAAAAGGCTTTAAGGGCTTATGAAATGAAGATCATAATAGTGGAAGAGAAGAAAAATTAGAAGCCACAAGCTGCTCAAAGCCGCTGTGTGCTCTACTGCACAAAGTCAGGGGAAAAATGTTAGTTGAGTATCATTAGCTATCAGGGAGAAGCCTGTTTTCTGCCCAGTGGTATATTTCTATTTAAAGATACGAGGACTCCCCTGGTGATCCAGTGGTTAAGACTCCACATTCCAATGCACAGGGAGCAAGTTCAAATCCTGATTGGGGAACTAAGCCCACATGCTATGAGGTATGGCCAAAAAGTAAAAAATAAAGTTAAAAATAAAAATAAAGATATGAAAGTAAATTCCAAGAAAGGGACCACAGCGAAAAGGATTTGAGGATACAGAGATTACAGTTAAAAATCAAAAGGGCAAAAGAACAAGGGGGACACTTTTGGGGCTTTGCTGCTTGAAGAGGATCTACTGATTGGGATTGCTATCTGAGTAAATGCACAAATGCTGAAGCGCATTTCTTGGGGGAGAAAAACAGAGGGTGACTTCAAGCCTGCAACTGCTCCCTGTGGTGAACCATGGCATTGGGTCCGTTGCTTCCCTGCCTCACAATTTGCCATAGGCCCTAGCACTCATTCTATCCCAGCTAGCAGCAGGCTGCTTGGCTGGTTGTTCAAGCTTCATATTACAGTCAGCTCTCTGTATTGAAGGGTTCCACATCTGCTGATTCAATCAACCTCAGACAGAAAACACTCAGAAAAAAAATATGCCAGCAAGTTCCAAAAAGCAAAACTTGAATATGCTACGTGATGGCAATTATTTACATAGCATTTACATCATTGTAGGTATTATAAGTTATCTAGAGATGATTTAAAGTGTATGGGAGGATGTGCATACATCATATACAAGTATCACACAGTTTTATGTAAGAGACTTAAGCATTCAAGCATTTTGGTATCCAAGAGGAATCCTGGAAGCAATCCCCACCCCACCCCAGATCCTGAGGGACAACTGGACTATCTGAGGTGACACCAAAGCACATTCCATCTGGGGGTCCTTTAGCTCACCAGATAGCAAGTGACTGGACATCCCCTAAATTAGCCACTCATGATGATTCAGAGAGTCTCAAAATCCAGCTCAGAAAAGCCATACTGGAGCCAGGTTCCAATTCTAGGACCTACTCATGGGTAATCTTATCATGAACTATTGTGACATACAGCTAACAGAGGAAAGTAAAGTGCTGAAGAAATTGGGCATCATAGCTCTAAGGTTTAACATATATTTATATTGCTTTACATATTTATTAGGTTTTACAAAATATTTATAAGGTTTTACATATAAAAATCAGCCTTAACCACTTCTTGTAGACTTTTATTTTGGCCTTGAGATTGATTACTGGACTGATTATATACCTTTTAAACACACATGTTGGCTCACTCCCTTGATTAAGTTTTCTATTCATTTATTGGTCATTGTACACTGGACTTATTCAATAGTAGGCTTCAAGTCATTTTTGTTCAATCAAGAATGAAATCTCTTGGTTTCCTAGGTATGGGTCAAAACATGACTTTGGTTATATGAAATCTATTATCAATATACATCACTACATATAAACTAAAATGTGATTCATACATCATCTATCTTTTCACACACTGCTGTGTTACACACACACACACACACACACACACACACGCGTGCATTTTCTTTAGAGGTCAAACAAAAGGAATCAGGGATCAGAAACAGGATACAAAAAGTTATACAACAGAGTTGCACTCTAATCCCCAAAGAGAAAACATTGAATTCTGGGTTGGCAGGTAACCACACAGGAAAAGTAAAAAGGTTTAAGGACAGCACTAAGGAAGAAATAGGTGGTCAAAAAAGTAGAATGTAGTACCTTTTTCAAGTAAAATTTATGACCAGGCGTACAAGTCCCTAAGAAAGTGTTTCAAGACTCATGTCACTATATTAGAAAATATATGCACCTAAGAAAAGCCATTTGGCTTACCCAGAACTCTACCATGGAAGGACTAAGAAATCGTATTAGAAGGCTTTGAAGATATATCAAATAAAAGCCCTTGAAAACTTTTAAGTACCCAGAGATCTTCCCTTTAAAACTGAAGCCATAAACCATATAGATTATGCTTTCCTATAACTACAGAAAAAGATATAAAAGAATCAATAAAGTTATTAATAATTATTACTTCAAAAGAATGGGAGGGTGTGTACATGTGAGATGGACTTTCACTTTTTACTTTAGATGTTTCTGTATTGTTCATTTTTAACATGGGCCTGTATTCTACTGGTAATTTCTGAAACAATAAATATGGAATAATTAAATAGGATGGGTACATCTATGGTTCATTCATTCCTGCATGCTTATTGTGTGGTAGTCATAACAAAACAAGGAATCTTGTGCTTAAAAAAAAAAAAAAACTACTCAGTGAGCACCAGAGAGTATGAATTAGGCTTTGATTGCTCAGTGAAAACCAGTACCCCACTCTTTGTATTATGTATCTCAGTAGCATTTCTGCCGTCAGACTGCCAAAAGCTCCTCAACGACCTTGTCCCATAAATCACTGGGAAAATAAGAGGCAATCATGCAGGAACACCCTCATCCGCCCACCAACAAATCTACTGACCTGTCTGTAACTATAACCGACTCTGCCTTAACAAGGAATGCAGTGTCCCCTCCACTATCTAAGGCCATACCCTCCCTTATTCCTTGGATCTCTCCCCTGCAGCCTTCTCAAGGAATTGCTTCCTGCCATCTTCGATGCTGTGCTGCAGGACTGACTCCTCTCTCCTGGGTCATTCATCCTACTATCCCTAGACCCCATGTCCTCCAATCTTGTATTTCTAGCCTTGAACTCTCCACTGAACTCTACCTATGTGACATCTTGGATATTTACTAAGTATTTAAAGTGTGACATGGCCAACACAAATTTTTTTTCATTTTGTACTTTCATTCTGTTCCTTTACAGTCTTACTCATCTCAGTCAATTGCACTACCATCCAACCAGTAACGCAACCAAAAAATTTAGGAGTCATCCTTGATTTTGCTCTCTTACCTCTCATGTCCAATCCATCAGCAAGACCTATTGGCTCTACTTCTAGAGTGTATTTCACCTAATCTAATACATTATTATAAGTACCTCTAAGAAAGGAAAAAACACTACCAAATGCTATCAAATGTATGAAGCATCCCAGCCTCAGAAATGTTAAGATGTGGGGAAAGTCTCTGAACTGAGCGATAATATATTCTATACCTACCCGAATCTCTCCAACTTCACTATAACCACCCTACTCTAAACCATCATTACCGCTCACCTAGATTTCTGTAAATCAAACCTGGGCCTCAGTTGTAAAAGAACCATTTATCTCAGAGGGCTACTATGAAAATTAAACAAGATCCTATAGGGTCATGTACTTCACAGCATTTATCACACTATACTGTTTATTGCCTATTTACATGCGTCTATCTCCCATTTCAGACAGTAACCTGTACACGGATCTCGAAGTGTGTCTGTTTCATACTGTTAAGTACAATGTCAGTACTCAATAAATATTTGCTGAATAAACGAATGAATCTCAAAAAGTGGTTCCAAGGATCCCTTTCATTATTTTCCACCCTCCCACCCACATCCCCATTGAATCTCATTTTTAAAGGATTTTTTGTCTATTAGATCTCATTAAGTAATATTTTTTCCACTTAAAAATTTAATTACATATATGAAAACTCAACCCTTAGAATAGAAGAAAATAATAGCAAATGAAATAACAAAGGATTAATTTCCAAAATATACAAGAAGCTTATGCAACTCAATAACAGAAAAACAAACAACCCAATCAAAAAGTGGAGGGGAAAAGTGGGGAAAAGACCTAAACAGACATTTCTCCAAAGAATACATACAGATGGCTAGTAAACACACAAAAAGATGCTCAACATCATGAGAAATACAAATCAAAACTATAATGAGATATCACCTCACACAGGTCAGAATGGCCATCATCAAATAATCTACAAACAATAAATGCTGGAGAGGGCATGGAGAAAAGGGAATCCTCTTGCACTGTTGGTGGGAACGTAAATTGATACAGCCACTATGGAAAACAGTATGGAGATTCCATAAAAAAACTAGGAATAAAATCACCATAATGACCCAGCAATCCCACTACTAGGCATATACCCTGAGGAAACCAAAATTGAAAAAGACACATGTACTCCAGTGTTCATTGTAGCACTATTTACAATAGCTAGGACATGGAAGCAACCTAGATGTCCATCAACGGATGAATGGATTAAGAAGCTGTGATAAGTGCTCGCTTCAGCAGCACATATACTAAAACTGGAACTATACAGAGAAGATTAGCATGGCCCCTGCGCAAGGATGACACGCAAATTCGTGAAGCGTTCCATATTTTTGGCTGACTCATGTCAATGTATGACAAAAACCACTACAATATTGTAAAGTAATTAGCCTCCAACTAATAAAAATAAATGGAAAAAAAAGAAGCTGTGGTAAGTATATACAATGGAATATTACTCAGCCATAAAATAGATCACATTTCAGTCAGTGCTAATTAGGTGGATGAACCTATTATATATTATACAGAGTGAAGTAAGTCAGAAAAACAAATTATCATATATTAACATATATATGGAATCAAGAAAAACAGTATTGATGAACCTATTTGCAGGGTAGCAATGGAGACGCAGACACAGAGAACAGACTCATGGACATGGGGGAAGGATAGGAAGGAGAGGGTGAGACATATACACTAACAAATATAAACTAGATAGCCAGTGGGAATTTGCTGTGTGACTCAGGGGACTCAAATTGAGGCTCTGTGACAACTTTAGGGGTGGGAGGCTCAAGAGGGAGGGGACATATGTATAC